GGTCTCAGACATTTCTAATGAAATGACTGTCAGTGCTTTGATTTTTAGCTTTTTTTACTGATGTTATTGTGACTGATATGATACGTTCCAGCCCTACTCACACTGAATACCACTGACTAATATCAGGATTAATGACCATGTTATAACTGTGCTTTAATAGTTAGCCAACTGCACAGGCACAAAACTCACAGAAAATCTATGGAGTATGGTCAAGATAAAGACGAAGGACACAAGAACCCAGAAGGCGGGAGAGCTGAAGCAACCTGAGCTTCCTTCTAACCTTTAGCAGAACCACAAATTGATTGCTTTCATGCCACTAAGGAAAGAAGCAGTAATTCATGCAAACGGAGCTCCAACTAAGTACAGTAGAGTGCATCTACTGTACTTACCTCTCAGTAAGCCAACAACTCTGCATTTAAAGTCCAGTTTTCATTGGTGCTCTGTAATGTTCACATGTTTTGAGAAACTACATTTTGGTCTTTCAATATCTACCAGCCATAATTATCAAAGCTAACTGAAATAAATGCCTAAAATACACCATTCTGTGTAATTTAATTGGGGAAACATGTTTTTACCCACATGATGTTTCAGACGATGTTCATTCATTTATCTAGGAGTTTTGGAAAGGGGTCGCAGGTGTGTGTATATTTATGCAAGTCTGTGAATATGTATGGTTTGTGTTCGTTATAAGACTTTGCCCATCCTGACCAGCCATGATAGCTTTGATCAGAGAGAAAAGCCCTCTGGACTGATTATGATTTATGTATGAAGCAACAACAATAAAGTTTTTATAAGAAGCTTAGGATGATTAAACAAGTTTCAAGTTGCTGCAGGACGATTTTTAGCGCTGAGAAACGTACATAAAGTAACCAAGGTAAAACAATATCCAACTGAAACCTTATCGTGTGCTTAGAGGGGGGGAAAGTCAGCATTACAGCAGTTCTTGATAAATGAACTAAAACCCGCAGCACAGCCATCGTGGACCGTTAATTAGGCTTCTGGTGATTTCCAGCGCATTTCAGGGACCGCCACGTTGCTACCCAACCTTTTCCTAACCTCTGCCAACTTTGTAGATCCCAGAAGCACTGCAGGGCGCGGGATGTTATCTGTGCTCCAGTGTGCGTGTTTGTGTGCGTGCGTGTGTGTTTATGAACCTCTAAGTTGCGGCTTGTTAGGCTCAGGGACCACTGAGGCAGGTCTGCCACCGGAAGATCCGGTCAGTAGGCTGTTTAGTGCTACTTCAAGGTTGTTATTGTTATCCATCAGAGCTTGTCGGGCAGCCTCCCTATTAAAGCCCATCTCCATGATGTCTCTCAGAGCCCGTTCATCCACCTAGACACCACATGTAATGAGAGGAAGAATACATATGAACCGGATACACTGCATGTGCAACTCACAAACGTACAAACCTACATTTGCATAAAGCTAAAACATGAGAATAAAAGGGCAAAAACGGATGGTTCAGGTTTCGTATGGCTGAGGGTTTAAGTTTCAAACCAACCATCTTTAACATACTTTGAAGCCAAGCTTAATCACATCCTACTCAATTCTACTTTCTGTCGAAGCCAAAGCCGCGTAACTAGAAAACACTAGAACAAGAAAGAAGCCAAGATAAATTGAGCGCCACTCGAGTTCATTTACCTTCAGTTCATTTAAATTTTTTCAATATCCTAATCAATGTCTTATCTAGCCTCTGGACCATAAAATAGAAGCTCAGTCAAAATCAAAGAGCCAAAAAAAAAAAAAAAACAAGGCGCACTAACCAAGTTCCAGGGGGGAAAAAAAAAAAAAAAACTAAACAATTTGAAACAATCAATGCACATTAACAGACATAGGGATGTTTTTCAGGAACATTTTTTACACGAGTCCAAATAATATTTATCTTCCCACCAGCTCTCTATAGTTTCCATCTTGTCTGCTTTCTGCTCTTTCTGGCCTGTCTTCTCGCCTCCTTTGCTGGTGAAAGTCTCTGCTTCGAGTGAAGGATGCTGCATTGGATAAATTACTGCCCGCATTTCCTCCACCGCCAAATGTGCGCGGGCCCTGAGGAGAAGGAAAAAAAATAAAAAATACATTAGGGACAATGGAGTCACAGAAAACCAATCAAACCATAAAGGTTTGTAGCTGATGGTGAAGTTATGACTTTTAATTCAAAGAGTCGCAGGAATAATTCAAGTTAACCTGAATGTCAGTAAGTCTCATGTACTTTAAATGTAGAACCAATTTCATATCTTGTGCTAAAATTGCAATCAATATGCGATACGGTGTAATTTGTCGGCATGTGAAAAACAATGGAAGACAATTGGAAAGGTGTTAATCAATTAGTCAAACAAGAATATAATTACCAACTTTATGTTTTAGATAACTGGAATGCAGAGTAACACTGGTCACATGCAAAATTTATGGTGGGGTTACTGACTTCTTTAGCCTTCGAAACTTCAGCTATAGCTGCCGTCCGCTGCTTTTCGAACTCGTCGTTCTCCTCTGTGCTTTTGATCACATTTTGAGTCTGCAGGGTTTTCCTCTGATCTAGTTCCCTGCTGTCTACGTCATCCTTTCTTCCACAGTTCTGTAAGAAAGTTAAAAACACATGATCCACATATTAAAGCGAAACAGATGAAGGAAATACACACTTAAGTTTGCAAACGTGTTTCCGCATGCAAGTGTCATCATGAAAAAAATTTACTTTAGGACAACAAGTGAACAACTCGGAGAAAAAAAAAAATAATCTAATTTAACGCATTATTGCTTCCAAAATGAGATCCAAGCAATCAGATTCACAATGCTTATGCTGGTGAGGATATAGCAATAAAGATTGTATTAATTTCTAAATAATAACAATAATAATAATAATGTCAGGTGTAAGTTTTAAATTAAAACAACCTAATCTTCCCTTGTAATGCCTAGTTCCTCAATAAAGTAACGGTCCGCTTAAAGATTTTAACATTTTGTACGTTTCAAGTGGCGCTTCTATGAATTCGACTGTTCCAAGAGATCAAAGAACTTTACTGCAGATTTGTTAAGACATGGGCCTGCCAGTGTCCATCTTCTTCACACAACACTTAAGAAATTAACAGCAAATATTGACCAAATGAAATAAAAGAGCAGAAAAACCAAAAACTCATGTAGGCCCCGTTCTCTACATAAAGTTCTAGACAGAAAAAGAGCAACAGGACGCTGCAGTACAAGGGGAACCTTTGAACACGTTTGGCTGAGCGTCTATGTTTTTTTTTGTTCTGGATCGTGGGACGCCCAAGAGAAGCTGGTTGATTGACAGAAGGGCTCTGACAGGTGTGTGAATGTTAAGCTAGGTATGACGGGTTTACCCCCATTTAAAGCTTTAAAAAGTTAATAAAATGTTCAAATCAGTCTAAAAGCAAAACAGGAAGCTATTGGAGAGATGACAAGTCTGGATTTGATTATGGTTATGTAGTTTTGTGCCCATTAAGAGACGTGCTGCTTCTCTCTGAGAACTACGCAGAGAGAATTAGCCTAGACCAACATAAAGGATATACATTAGTCTAGACGAGACATGAAAGGGCGTGAATATGTTTTGCTCAAGGCTTTAAGATGAATATATGGTTTCACCTTGGCAGTGGTTCTTGGCAGGCAAAAAGCTGATTTTAAAACTACATTCATCTGCTTCTGTAACGTCAAGGGGCTGACAAAAACCGAATCCAGATTCCAGGCAGCAGGTCAACAACTAGGAGGCACGTAATCAACTTCGGCAGTAACGTTGCTCTGAAAACTACATTTGCCGACGGGTCTGACTCTTTCTGTAGATTCTTATTTTCCACATCAAGTCTCCGCTGGCTTTTTAATTTTTAAGCACAATTATCCCAAACGGATTCAACAATTTTGTTGTTTATATCAGGGCAAAACCAGTTTTCAAGGTATGATTAAAAAAAAAAAAAAAAAAAAAAAAAAAGATGCGGTGTTGTCATGAGCAATGTCCCTCACCTGACCAAACGGCACGAAAGGTGGAGGTCCGCCTTCTGCTCCAATGTTACTCCTGCTGTGTTTGGCCAGACTCTGCAGGTTGAAGGAGAAAACGAACTCATCTCAAAATGCGAAAGACGAGCACAACTCCAGAAAAACGACGACAGAACAGACACAAGGTGGCAGCTGCGCAGTTAAAATAATTACAAATATAATGATGGTTTTTCTTATAAAAGCCGAATTTCAGGTTGACCCTCACCCTTTGTAGCTCCCATTTCTCCACCATATGATCCACTTCTCCCCCAAGCACGTGGATGTTTGAGTCTTCGAGCAGCAAAATACCATTTTTAACTTGGATCGAACCGACAAGCTTCACCTTGGTCCCGGGAGGTGTATTCAAACTGAAAGACATACAAACAAAAGACAAGAAAACTGGAATAAAAGTAAATGGATAAAAAATAAAAAATAAATAAACAAAAGCTATGAATAATTATTACGCCCACAGCTCAGATTGCAACAGTTTAGCACATTTTAACTGTATCTAGCAGCTCTAACACCCTATTGCCTTATCACTCTGTAAATGACATGGAGCAGTGCCAGCAGATGGGTGGCAAAGCTAAGAGAGACTATTAATAATCCCAGCTGCTCACCCATCCTCATGGTAAATTAAAAGCGCCTCTATCTCATCAGGCCTGATAAGGCCTCTGCCTCTCTCATTAGGAAAGCACAGGGACTTAGAGGGATTTCCAGCTACTGATGCTGGAAGCCAAAGTAACAATTAGGGATTTCACTCCAGAGCTCTGGGATGGATGGCATTCTCATGACAATGTAGAAATGAGGTGCAGCGTATCCCTAATTCAATCACAAACACACTATTCAACCTCAATAGTTGCTTCTTACTGTTTAATTGTGGTCCCTTTATATATCACTGTCTTACATAGTGAACAGTTCGGTAATCCATCTCATCCTTCTTTTCCATCCACTTAAGGCCTCCCTCACACTAAAGCGGACACTTTCATCAGAAACATTAAGCGCTGCTGTCGGATGCCGGTGTGCGTGTGTGTGTGTGTGTGTGTGTGTGTGTGTGGGGCGCTCATAAAGAGGGGATTTGTTCTGTTCTCTCCTCTCTTCCCATCAGGAAGTCACGGACTACATTCTGGCCACTCCACCTGTACAGACTGGCTAGTCACCATGGCAGCAATCACCAAGGCCACCGTTGCTTGGATGGAGATGTAATTAAGGCTGCGAGTTGTTAAATCAGCTGCTGCCATATGGAAATTGCAGATAAAGGAGAAATTCAGGCACACGGCGGGGCGAAATGTTGACAAGGGGGTGAAAGAGGAGTGTGTGCAGAGAGGCCTCACACATTAGCTAAGAATATGAGGACGTGGCTAAATGTGCACCTTTCTACATCAATTTTGCAAAAAGAAATCAAATTTGTCTTTTCTTTTTAGCAGTTCAGTACACATGAATTCACAAGGATATTTCAGCTTTCATGTAGATTTAGTGACGTGAGCTCATTTTATCTGTAGAAAGACAAATACAAACTATCGACCCACATATTGTTATAAATTAAACCTTAGAAATAAAAAATAAAACATAAACACACTTAAATCTAGTTTCCCCGGCAATAGTTACTTTTCCTACAGAAATATTAATCAATATAGACTTTTCAAACAAATGCACTAAACTGCATCTGCTCTTCTGCACAAAAAAACAAAAACCCTACCTGATTTTGGACAGATGTTTAAACTCCAGTCCAACACAGGTGGTGTGCCCATCTGTCATTTGGAGACGCAGCATTCTCGGTGCTCCCTGGGACTCTTCATGGTCTTTGGGAGACGAGATGTTTCTCACTTTCTGCACCTGGAGGACACATGGACCCTCCAACTGTCCATTTGCAAAAAGACAAACTAAATTAGATTGAGAGGAAAATGGGCAGGCGGTGCAAGCAAAAGCTCCAACAGTTGCAGTGCAGGATGCACTCAGAATAGATTATTTTTTCAAAGCATGACATGGGTGAATATTTCCGTTTAAGAGGCTAATGACAGTACAGGTTTGTTTATTCCCCAAACTGCTCCACCACTTACATTTGGGTTTAGTCAGCATTTTGTATTTGGAGAGAAGAGGAGCTAGGCATACAAAAGAATGTTTGTTTTAATAGCTGGAACATTTTCTCTGCAGTTACTCAGATTCAGCATCACAAGCAAAACAAAAAAAAACAACAAAAAAAAAAGGAAAAAAGAAAAAAAAAAGGGATTTTTATTCGCCAGTCTGTTAGCACCATCTAGTGGACGTTTTGAGAACTGCATTATGGATGAAAATAAAGCATTGATCTTCTTCTAAAACCAAAAGAAATGGTTATAGTGCAATGTTTTTCATTGAAGAGGATCCATACATTGTTATGTAAAAGGTATTTGTTTCCTTACATATTTCTGCTTAAAACTTTTGTCACACTTGAATGCTTCAGATCAATTTAATTTTAATTTCAGACAAAGATAACCCTCAGTAAGCAGAACAAATAATCTGTTTTCTTATTATTATTTTCAGGAAATATAGATACTCAAAACTAACATGCTATAAGTAAAAAAAAAAATTAAAAAAAAACGTAATTACCCCTAAAACTAGAAATTGACTGATCCATCCTTGACAAAAACTGCCATCAAGTATGTGCAATGAACATCAATGAGCATTGCACAGTCACTGTGGAATTATACTAGTCCACTCTTTTTTTTTTTCCAGAATTGTTTAAGGTCAGACGTACTGGAGGTTTCTCCAGCATGGTCTTTTTATGGTCATTCCACAACATCTCAATCAGATTTATATCTGGCCTTTAACTGGGACACACCTACACCTTCCTTTTATTTTGCTGAGCCTTTTAGAGGTGTACTTGCAGGTGTGCTCGGAATCATTTGTTCTGCTGCATAACCCAAGAGTTCTCTGAGCTTAAGGTCACAAACTGAAGGCCGGACATTCTTCTTCAGGATTCTCTGGTACAGAGAAGAACTTCTGCCTCCATTAATTACAGAAAGTCATTCTTGTCCTGAAGCAACCCCAAACCACACTACCACCCCCCCATATGTGAAATTCTATATGATGCTTTTTTTTTTTCCTGAAATGCTGTGGCAGTTTTGTATAAAAAGTAAAAAAAATTTTTTACATCAATTCACAGAATATTTTTCCTAAGGTTAAGATATAGTATGGCAAATATGGAAATAGACCGTTGTCTTATTTTTGGTCAAAAGTGGTTTTTCTTAGTCTTTTTCTTGTTATAACACAAACACTGACCATAAATTGGGAAACTAAGACCCAATACTGCTTTAGATGTCCGGTGTTGTTCGTGGCCACCTGGATAAGTTGTTCACGTTCTCTTAGAAGAACTTTGGTAGATCGACCGATCCTGAAAAGGTTCACAACAGTTCCGTGTTTTCTCCAATTGTGAAAAACAAACTGTCCTTCACTAGAGTTCCAAACCATTAGGAATAATGTCTGTAGTCCTTCACAGACAGACAGATGGCAGTGACTTTGTTTCGACTCTGTTCTTCAGTTTCTTTTAATAAGGCTGTGATCCGTGTCTGAAAAAGATCTTTGACCCAACCTTGTGTTGTCAGGCAGGTTCTATTGAAAAGATTAATTGGTCTACAGTAATCAGGCCTGGGTGTGGTGGTGAAACTGAACACAACCTTCCAAAAAACTGTGGTGAATCACGATTAATCGATAATTTAACGATGGGGATGGTTAGTTTTTCCACGTAGGGTGAGAATAGGCTTTTTTCCAATTACAAGTGAACTCATCATTTAAAAATGCAATTTGCTTATAGTCCTGTTTCATTTGTCCCATACTGACATTTGTTTGACAACATGAAACATTTATTTGTGACAAAAAGAAATTTAAACAAAAGAGTTTTCTAAGGTCGCAAAACCTTTTTAAAGCCACTTTATAGACATGAATATCGCTTACCTTTTCAGTTCTTCCACCATTTATATCAGATGGAAGAACCTTTTTCCCAATAGGCCTAAGAT